TTTTCTTAAATATTGACCCAATTCCTAGTAGCTTCATCCTAGTGGTGCTACTTCTTTGCGCATTATTTTAGTCTTGGGACTGGATTGAAGCTAGGCATTTTGGTTTCAAGTTTCTGACACTTCCTCTGGTGGAACTGAGATGGGAATTGAGGTGAGTGGATTGTGAGATAGATGTATACTGAGATAGATAAGCATAAAATTGAAAGGGGAAGCAGAGATGCCGGCTCTAGACCCGGTGTGTGCCGTTTCCCTCTCGTCTGACTCCCATTCTCACTAACTTACTGAAGTGGCTTTTACCGAAGCCCGTCGTACGTTGTTCTATCCGTGGACGCTGCACAGCCTGAGTCACTGTATTTGTTCTGAGGAATTTCGTGTCAAGGTGACACAAGCTGGAGTCATTTGGGAAGCTGGCACCTCAATTGAGAAAACACCCTCACCAGATTGGCCAGTGGGCAATCCTGTGGTACATTTTCTCCATTGATGAATGATATGGAGGGCTCAGCTCACTAGGGGTGGTCTTAATCCTGGGCAGGCAGCTCTAGCTGCCATAGCAAAGCATGCTGAGTAAGCCAGGAGCCTAAGGCAGGAAACAGCACTCCTCCAAGGCCTTTGCGCCAGTTCCTGCCTCCAGGTCCCAGCCCTGCATGAGTTCCTGCCCTGACTTCTCTGGATGATGAACTGCTACCTGCAAGTGTGAGTGAAAAAGACCATTTCTCTCGCAAGTTATTTTTGGTGATAATATTTCAGCACAGCAATAGAAACCCTAACTAAGACATTATTATAATGCAAACGTATCTATCTAGCCGCAGCAGAGAACATCAAATTCTTCTAATCTTCTGCAGTCAATGCCCGGAGGAAAAAATAGACTGAAATCAAATGGGAAGTGGTCTCACCCATTAGCTCATCTCCAGGAAGACTAGAATCTCTAGAGGGCATTAAAATGAAAAGAAGTTAGCTACAATTTAATTTTTGAAACAAGGCATCCCTATTTATCTCAAGTTGGCCTGGAACCCCAGGCTTCCTGCCATTGCTTGCTCAGTTGGGATCATAGACTTGTGATAGCATGGTTAACATACTTATTGAAGGCCACTTGACATGAGATTTACTCTCCTGACAAAGTTTTACTTGTGCCATTCAGTATTGGCAACCATAAACCAATAAGAGCACATGCTCCTCTTTACAGAGGATCCAAGTTCCCAGGAGGGTGGCTTAACTGCTACCTCTAACATCCACAGTCACACGCACTCAGATGCACATATCCCAACACAAATGTTTATGCACACATACAACTAAAAAGTGATAAAAAAGAAGTAAAACAACAAAAAAGAGAATGTCAAGTAGAATGTGGCTACATTTAGCCAAAATGGGAAGTACTGCTCAAAGAACTTCACCTGTCAGCTCTTATTGCTAGGCTGTCTCTCCACCCCTGGCATCTGGTTTTAAAATGGAAGCATGCATATTACAAAAATTTGTGAGATATGGGACTATATAAAGAAAATTAAAGACATCTAGAACCACACTAGTCAAAATAGTTTATTTTTATCTACCTTTAGTCTTTTCCTGATAATTTAAAGATTATAATATACAAGATTTTAAAGCATAATTAACAAAAGTTTGGATAGGTGACAAAGACAGGCATGGTGACAGTATTTTTGCCACTCAAATTATCCATAAGTTCTGAAAGAGTCAGACAACAGTCATTCAAAATCTCTGTTCCCAGTTCTAAAGCTTATACTTTCTTTCTAGTAAGTGGATTACCGTGTGCACTGGTTTGTTTTGCACCCTTGTGGGTCAACGTCACTTACATAAGAACACCCCACACAAAACTTTTAGGCACATTCCCTAAGGAAAGAAAGGATAACAGCTAAGTCTGATGAAAAGATTCCATATGTCATGAGAAAATAGCTAATATTCTTTAACAATTATGCATACTTAAGTTTATATATAAGAGAGTTGGCAGAAAAATAAGGCCTGGTTGACAATGGCTCAAGGAGATTCTGAGTGGTACAACAGATTTCTTCTTACATTATTAAGCTTAAAGGATTTATTATCAAAATTAAAAATGCAGCTTCAGTTGTATATAAAGTCATGATCCTGTTCAATAGTTGTGGAGTGTTGGTGGAACTCTACACACAGCACTGAAGGCCGGGAGGAAGCAAGGGCCGGCTCCAGTTGGAATGTTGAGTTTATTCAGACAGCTCGCTTTGACTTAGATGGTTATGAAACACTGAATGAAATCATCATATGACAAATGCACCCTTCCTTGATAACCAGAATCCCAACTTTGAATGCTATCTGTGAGAGTCCTCGGTTTGAACAGAAGGCCAGGCGGTCCTCAAAGGTGATCTTCCCACTGGCGCTATGTTGCTTTGTAATGAAATTCACAGTTTAGGGGCTCAACCTGAATCCTATTGTCGAAAGCTCTTCTGCAGTTTCTGGGGGCCCACTGTTTCCCTCCTATCGCCATGGAAACTGATGAAGTGTTGTCACTAGCTGCTCAGCACAGCCCAGAGCTCTTTATGTTCGCTGACTCCCATTGTGACAGACATATCTTTGCTCAACATTGAAATCGTAAGGTAACAAGTCTCCAGATGAAAAAGTTTATATCTTCCCACAATGCCAGACTGCGCTAGACTTCTGCAACCTGTCAGCATCAATTTGTCCATTCTCTTCGGTCACAGCAGCTACGTAACTTCACAGTGGATCCTGAGTTTGTCCACGGAACACAGGCCGTCCAGGAGCCCACCATGCCTGCCCGGGTAGTACCCGCTGCCAACGCGGGGATGCCCGAGCTATGCCACGGCACAGACTGCACCTCCGCCTTGCACCCCTTGACATATTCTTTGATCACGAAACTTGCACTAGTTTCTTTTCTTGTGACTAAACACCTAACAAGAAGCAAGCTTGGGGAGTGAGGGTTTGTTGTTGTTCACAGTGTCCTGGCTGGGGATCCATGGCAACACAATATTCACCACTGTGGTGGTGGGTTCTTGTTGACATCTGTAGCTAATTAGGAAGCCGAGCAAAGGGCGTGCCAGTGGTCAAACTCATGTCTCCAGATGAATCTAGATAAGCCAAACTTTTGGTAATTTTCCACAAAAGAGCACTTTTGAGCTCTGTGTTCACACATGCAGCTCATGTCTCTTCTACCCATCCCCTAAATTCTACTCATGTGTCTTTCTTCTCAGCCTTCTAGTGTCTCTTCATGGGGCAACTGGGAAAGCCTCCTTGGGGCCTCTGCCTGCACTGTGATGGCATCTGCCTTTAGCATCCAAAGTGTCTACTTATTAGCATAAATCACATTATGTAAAAATTCTCAGTGATGTCTCATTATTCTTAGGATCGAGTCCAAGCTACCAGGTTTGAACAATCCAATTTGTAGTCATTTCGTCAGTCTTCTGATTTCTTTTTTTAGTTTCTTGAATTTCCAAAGCTTCCTAGCATCTTGAAAACCCCTCTCATTTCATGTCCTCTCTGGACAAGCCTCCTTGATCCCCTACTATGGTACTGGGTACTTTACCTTTGTGGGACCTAACATACTTTTTACCAAAAAATATTTGTGAAATAACTTGCATATTGTTTCTCTCCTATTAAAATCCTCCTCCTAGGTCCTTGGACTTCCCACAGGGCAGGGAACCCTGACTGTTCTTTGGGCTGATGAGGGAGGGGGAGTTAATTGGGGGAGGGGGAGGG